CTGTTGGAGGTGATGGTACTCCACGCGATTCTAACACTCGCAGAGCATGTAGCTGCTGTTACTCACATCACTGCCTGTTAGGCTGACCAAAGAGCATCTCCAGTCATGTCACATTCAATCTTACTGATTAAATGCCAAAGGAAAGTTTATTATTAACTCCAACTGTAATATCCTTGTCTCTGACTTTACAGTCCCTCTGAATCCCCCATGAGACTACACATGACTCTCTGTTCCTCAGGTCTCAGAAAGAATGAGGGTGGAACATATTTGTTAAAATGTGTGAATGGAAAATGAGAGTCACTAAAATGAAACATTTTCATATTGTGAAACCCTGCATTCTGGTGGATGCTGCCCTGTTCTCGCTTCCATAACCTCAGCACCATCTCGCCAAATCTGCTCTGTAGTCTGCCTCTAAGCTAAGGCTATATTCTGTCTTAAGGGGAACTTTGTAAATTCTAAAGTTGGAGTGAAAACAGACTTGAAATCTGCCACCAAATGGCGTGACCTTTCTCTGGGCAGCATTAGCCTTTTTGGTTTTTTTCTATTCTGTCTCTGTGCTCAGCATCAACTCATGGACCTGCCTCTTCTTTTTCAAATCACTTTATCGGTTTCTGTCATGAAAGAGGAATGCGTCGGAGAAACAGGAAGATGTTATCTGCTTATGTATTGAGGACAATGGCAAACTTAAAAAGGAAACCTACATTAAATGCATAAAATGTTGTAATGACTTCCTTGTTCTCCTCTTTTTATAAGGCCTGACACTTCAGCATCTTAGTTCTGCAGGATTGAGACTCTCTATTGCTGTATTTACACAGCAGCTAATTCATTTCTGGCCTGATCCTGGTCTTGACTTCTGGCCACTACCGTAATTAGATTAGCATAATAACAGCAATTAGAATGTTCTTTTTCTAACAGACTGGATAGCTTTGGACGTTTGATCTGACCTATTCAAAAAGTTAGAAATATGAAAGATCTGAAAAAAACATTTCTGAAGACATAGAATAAAAAAGATATTTTTGTAATTGCATGTCTAATTTCAGCTCATTACTCTCTCGTTATCTTTTAACCTTCACATCTTCGTACTTGGAAAAGATTTCTTACCACAGGAAATCAGTACCAAATCACTTGCACTGCTGGTGCAATTATCTCTCTGTTCTCATTTGTTTGTACCATAAATACAGAATAACTTGAGGATCAAACAGTACAAAAATATTAGCATCCTAGAAGCTCAGATATGGTTGTATAAAGTAAAAGCCAAACAATAATCTATAATCTATTACATAAATCACTGTTGCTTCATGAATAACCTGCAAAAAAGAAAAAAAAGGGCCAAATCTAATGATCTAAGGAATTCAGTTCTCAAAATGAAACGTGATTCCTTCTCCGTGCAAAATCTATATATCAAAATAATCCCAGACTCCTTAGATCAGGAAAAAGTAGACCCATTTTGGACTTAAAGTTTGCATAAAACTTTTATGCAAAAAAACCCCATTGTTATTAATTTAAAATGGAAGAAAATCTAGAATGAAGTTATGAACTCAATACCAGATTTTAGTGCAGTGTTGTTTGCAAGGCATGTCAGCTTGGCACAGTGGGGTCCTGATCTCGGCAGCTGTGGAGACCTGAGCTGTGCTTCGGGATGTCCTTTCCTCTCACCCAAAAAGCGAGCTGTTTCCCCTGACAGCAGCAATCTACCCTGTCACATGCGAATACGCTGCCTTGGTACCCAGAGAGACACGCAGCCACTGCACTCTTCTCTAGCACAAGGCCACTGCTATGGAAGCTGCTGTTCCCTCTGTCTTCTCCATGTCACAACAGCAGCCTCCTAGCTGGACTGTCCTGGGCAAGAACCAAAGGAGGAGAGAAGGCAGAGGGTGCGATGGCTGCTGGCACCTGGCTCACAGGCCCTGCTGGCTCTTGTCTCGAAAGGAGGAGGCAGCACTGCTCAGAGCAGCGACTCTCCCGCGGCAGCTGCAGCACCATATATCCCCTGAACAGCTGTTCTGAACTGCTCTCGGGAAAAAGGAATGGACATGGGCTGTGTCAGTACTGGTCTTCTGTTAGAGAATGGAGTTATGACATTCATTTCCTGAATTTAAACTGATGGGAGTGGCTGGATATATTTGGGAATATATAAGGTGGGAAAAACCAGAAACAGGATCTTGGATGAGCTAATTTAACCTTTTTTATCATATCAGCAATCCTTTTGCAAATGATGATGGACGATTTCATTACTTCTTGATGAGATGCAGAAAGGAATCAACTTTATAACACAAAAGATGCTGCTTCAGGAGATTAATACTAAATTGAATCAGGCAAAGATTACAGTCGCAGCTCTGGACAACATATATGCACAGATGGTAGCCTACGTTAATAATTTGGAAGGCGACTGGCATAGCAGAATGCAATGCATTTTAATGAACACCATTAAAACCATGAGGGTCGAGTGTGACCATATTTAAGGCTTTGCTCCTAATCTTGTAGAATTTGACAGAAAAAAAATTATTGCCAACAATGAACTCAAGTTGAATCAAACTCAATTTGTAGAATATCCATGGAAATAATTAATGATTTAAAAACAGCAAAGCTGGAGAGAGATACAGCATGCTGCTCTATATTTTGTGACTACATTTATTGAGGTTCCTGTTTCAGAATGAAACCATAGAATATGAAATTATGTATATTTATAATAATTTATAATTAATTTCCTATAATTATTATTTATTCACAGGAACTGTTTCACTACAGATTCTGGGAGTGACAGAATTTCTAATGACAAAAATGGCATTTACCCTCCTCAGGAAGACAGTATCCAAAGCAACAGAGATAAGACCATACAAAGGGACTGATTTGCAATAGATGTAGAAGTGCCTCCTAATGAGTCCTCTGTATGTCTCTCTACAGAATTACAAAATTAACAATAATATTTGTTTTAAAGTCCTGATCCAGCCCAACCATTCACAGTTCATATATTGTGTAATTAACTCTTTCTCAAAAGCTCCCTATTCTATTTTTTACAACCAAGGAACAAACCATGACTTGATCTGAAGCTGCCTTTTGAGTGACCAGTATGCTCTACTTAGCAAATAGAGTGAAATTTCTTTCATGACTTACCTTGTTGCAGTACAGAATGTTTATAGTTCAATCGCTAAAACACTGTAAGCATTGGGGTGCTCAGGGATGTTTGTGTGCAGAGCATAACTATACATTCAAAGTTATGAACACACGGCAATATAATGACTATTAAAAATTCTCATTAATCTGCACTAACTATCTGTAAGTGCAATCAAAACACTGAGTTAATGAACCACCACCTTCTAATACCTGTTCCTGATTTACAGCCTCTCCAGATACAAGTTTGTTCTCACTGATGTAACCAGGAATATGTTTTAATCCAAAATAGCAGCTTTTGGTTTTCATGCTTCTCAGCTTTTGGTAGCTTTTGGCTTCATCGATCACTCTCAAAGGATCGTCTCCTGCCTGACATTAGCTTTCTCAAACTTGGACTTCTGATTCATTCTGATATGGCTACAGAACAGCACCTTCCAATATTAGTTTGAACATCTCTTCTTCTATCCACATCTTAGATACATCTTCCTGCAATTCATTCCTTGCTTTCTTTCTATCTTTTTGTTTTGATGTGCAAATTAAGCATCCAAATAATATAACTAACAAAACAAAGTAACACAACAGCAAATGAACAAAATAATTCTTTCATTAATAGCTATTTTAGGCACTCATCTTTTCCTGCTTTTTCTTTATCATCATAAAAGTCTACAGTATCATCAAAGTATCACCACACAAATATTATCACATTAGACATTAGACATTCTGGAGCAAATGATACAGAAATTAATCTTCAAATATTCCCTTTTAAAAAATTCTTTATGCCTGTAGAGTTGCATTGTTGTTTAAATCTTATTTTTATTTAAATACTTATTTTCACCACTGACAGACTTGCTCTGTAGTTAATAGCAGGCTTGACTAAAGAAGACAATGTGAGTTTTGCTTACCTAAAAAATCACAATTAGCTGTTACTGCTGCTGAGGAAGTAAAGAAAAATTGGCTAGCACTATAAACCCTTTCTTTCTCTGAATAACAATTTTTACTTTATGAAGATAAATTCTGTAAAGATTGTATACGTACAAGACCAACAGAATGCATTTTGTTACATATCTTTAGGAGGTAAAGAAAATTAGTGAACTTCAGCAACGCCATAATTTTTGTTCTGCAAAAATAAATAATAGTTCAACAGAGTTTTATGAACTTACTTCCAAGAGTCAGGATTTTAATAATGATCTAAAAATTTGTGTGAATACATGTATATGGGCTGGCAATATTTCTATCATTAATTAAGACTATTTCCTTAATTCCCTCTCTTCAGTATTTTTAAAAACAAGTTTCATGCAGGTATTTTATTTGATTTTCTGCAATAACCGTATTTTAATAAGTAGGTTTGAAACCATTAGTTGGAGATTATGTGCTGTAGAGAAAAGAAGTATATTTTACCTATGGTTAACCACAGGTTAAAGAATAAAAGGAAACTGCATTTGATTCTGTTGGAATTAGAATGAATATAACCTACCTTTTGAACACAAAAATGTTTCATTATCTGTGTGTGTTCTCTCCATAACTTCATTTTGTAAATGTTTTTATGGGCAAGTTAGCAATTTTTGGATAGTAAGATAAAATAGAATGCTTACAATGGTCCCTAGCAGGGATATTTGTGGTCCTCTGGAAATCGATGATTTTGTTAGATTTAGGTAATAATAAGTAGCATTTCAAGTGACAGTTTCCTTCTTCCACAGATAACTTCATACAGTCGCAGTGCAATGATGTTCTCCCTTTACAACACTTCTTTTTCACTAACCTATTAAACATCTTAAACAAGTATGTCAGAAAACTCTTACCCCACACACAAATCTGATTCCAGGTGTGATTTGTAATAGCAATCAGCCTTGCTGAACTCTCTAGTGTAATTAATAGGTTGTTCTAATTACCTTCCAGAGCATATTTCATGTCCTGGGCAAACAGAGTCCACATGATTTCAGCACTGATCTTCCCCATGTTCAGCTCTTGAGGGAACCTGCAATCAATCACATTACATCAGTTCACCTGCTGCTAGAAATCATGCTTACAGCTGCACAGCAGAAAGGCAAATATTTCCACAAAATAATTCCCCTAGAATACACTTACTGTATTTTGTGTTTTGCAAAATTATATGAACCATCCAAACTTGAAATAAAAACTTTCCTTAGTCTAGAGTCAGGGGCCTAAGTAATTAGTTTAATGTTGCACCAGTTCCCTCACTTGACATTTTAAATCAAGAAACACCCAGCCATCTTGCAGATAATTCCTCAACTTTAGATAAATCAGATGCCTTATGAAAAACTTCAAACAGTTGGCTCACATGGTTAGCAACTACAGGTTTTCCTTAATTCCCTTATTACACTGGAAAATAGTGACGTTCTCTGTGAAGCTATATTGGTTTATACTAGTTAAATCCAATTCACCGTTTGAAAACTTTCACCTTGAAGTATGGATAAAACAGTAAAGAATATAAAGGGTAGAAAAATGCACACTTGATAAAAGCTTTTTTTTTGTCTTTTATTTTTGGTCTTATGTTTCATGTCATCTCTGAAAAAACAGTCCTTTTTAGATATTTTTTGCTGTTACCAAGTAAGTATTTTTCCACAACTTTCTCACAGATCCCAGCTGTTTCTTATTCTATGTAAAAGAAAAGCTTTAATCTTCAGTTACCATCTTCACCAGCTACCAGCAAAAGCTGACATTCTAGTGACACACACTACTTGTTTCACATCATATTTAAAAGGAGAGCTATTTGTCTGTCCTTTTTTTTTTTTTTTTTTTTTTTTTTTTTTTTTACTAAAAAAAGAAAAGTCTGTCCTTACACCAGGGGTGGGACTGACATCAGTATGAGCAGCTCTGAGGGCAGAGAAGCAGACCTGCTGGTCACACAGCTAGAGAGCAGGGAGTCCTGCACAGAAGCTCTGAGCTGTAAAAGAGCAGTTCATACACCAGTGGTGCAGGGAGAGCCATGTGGATACACCAGAATTTACCATGAACACAGAAAATCATCAGAAAACATATTCATGAGGAAACACATGGAGCTGTATGGCTTTTGTCTTGAGTTTAGTACAGCACTTTACACTAGCAGAGAATTTGATCCAAAGTATTTTGACCTTTTATCGAAGCACTAATCAAATTCAAAAAATATTCTGTCATAATTTTTGTAAAAATGTTATTTTTTTTTTTCTTATTGCCAATGAAAGAATGAGAATGATGTACAGCTTTAAGAGGACAGCAATATAAGTAATGCATTCTTTCCAGAATTCTTTCCAGGAACATATTTGATTTGATAGTATCTGCAAAGAAAAATCACTTAAACAGCTCATTAGCTCTGTCACTTTAATATGAAGCATTTGCTAGCTCAGATCACTGATATGCCTTCATTATGCTAATAGATTTTAAATTACAGAACTTTGTATTCATTCTGTTAACACAAAATTAATTGCTGTTTAAAAACTCAAATGTATTTTAGCTATAACCATCAATTTCTTTACCTCCAGTCCAGTCTGAGTGCTCTTTTAGCACCAGACGTGAACTTTGACAATGCTGCTTTGAGAAAATATTTAAAAGTTGATTTAATGTTGACACTCTCTTTTGTTCATAGTGCAAAGCTGGCCATAATGCAGGGCTGGGTCTGATAAAAATGCATTTGTTTGATTAGTGGTATATATATGTGTATACATTTTAAGTTGTGAAAACACATGCCCACACAAGCTGCAATTATCTTTGCACTACTTTGCTTAAATTACTGTAGTTTGACACAGTATCCTCGATGCATCCCACTGGGCTTCAGTTAGGTACCTAAAGTTCACGCCCAGGGATACCGACTTCTGTGTCCCTGAGAAATACAAACCTAATGCATGACCATCAACTGGACATAGTAATGAAATCCTTCCACCCAGCACCTAGGGTGTGGATATTTGCAATTTCATTATTACATGGCTGCATTTTTGTATCCAGACCTGCCGGACTGACTGCCATTCCCATACACCCAGTTTCATTTTATCCAACACAGTGACCTCTCTTAGCAGGAGATTACTCTGACAAAAAAACATCATACAACACAAAGCACCACTATGTTTTAGTATAAACTTTTACTTTTCACATGTAATTAATTTGCTTCATGGCAGCTATGATACCTGTAGATGTATTCATCAGAGACTCAAATAATAGATTTTTAATTTGTCCAGAGTAGGTTAGTAATGTAATGTGGAGAGTTAACCCAATTAGCATTTCCAGCCAGTGAAATTGATTTAATATGCTAATGTACTTAATGCCTGTAGATCTCACTGTGCTGTGATATTGGCCATAAAACGCACTTCTCCAAGCATTAACAAGCTTGGAAATGACATCGCATAGCTTGCCAGGGTTCAGCTAGACTTTATTTCATTAAAGTTTTCTATAGTCTGGAAGTGTGATTTCCAGATAACTAATCCTGATTCAGACAGTAAAACTACTTTCTTATCACATTATAACTACAGAACTCTGGCTTCAGCACTATCCCAGCCCCTTCTCTATTCTCTGATACCATTGCTTTTCCACTTTTTGCATTTACAAACAACACTGGTAGGAATCCTGTAAGCAAAGCAAACTTCTAATTTTCAACACTGCCTTCACAAGCTTGAATGTTTGCTACTGCAGCTTTACCCAGCTCAGACAGGTATGCACAATAGAAACTGTGATAAATACTGTTTTCACACACTAGAAATAGACATTTCACATCTGATTCATAGCTTTCTTTTATCCTGTCATTCATATGACTTGTGTTGACACAAGAAAATAAATTTTTTATATTATTCTTCTCTGCATTTTTTATCCTGTTCACCGATGTACAGCAATTTGAGACAGTACATCTTGTATCACAAAATTAGCCACCAACTACTTCTAAAAAAATTTGAAAATTATTTTAAAAAATATTTTAAAAAATGATAAAAACTTAAAAACACCTGTCAGAAATAATTAGCTGTACAAGATTGACAGAACACATCATGCATTCAAAAGATCTGCTTTGAATGTCAACAAGGAGCAAATAAAGCCAAGACCTGTGTCAGTATCACAGAATTGTGATAGAGTAGAATTCTGTCATTAAGTAAAAAGGATATAGTGTCATGGCTACTGTTTCAATCATTAGCTGGTCAGGATAGCAATGACTACAATACTCTTTCTCTAGGTATCCAGTATTGATAAGAATATATTATATAATAAAATAAAATAACTTATATAATTATTGTATAATCATTATACATTATAATTATTATATATTATGTATTTTATACATAATATGAAATAACGCTTTAAAATCCTGTAGATTAAAAAAATTAAAATCCAAATGACCTTTTAATTTATTATTCAAATCAAACACATATTTTAAATATAAATCTAAGAGAAATCCATTGAAATAGGCATTTTAAAACATGTGAAATTATCCGCTTCATTTCCATTTGACGGAGTTCTTATGCAAGTGTGGGCATATTAAAATAGATCTCAAGAAAATAAGTTGAAGCGTTGCAGAATTTCAAATAGGCAAAATTTTTATGTACTTTGTTAAATGTAGCACATCAGAAACTGAAGCCTCCTTCAGCACTTCTCCCAAATGTGTCCAAAGTCAGATTTTTCATTCATTTAAACCCCACAATGTCTATCAGCAAAGCTGGTTCAGCTTCACTAATTGTAGCAGAGGTGGGACCATTCAAGCAGACAATGTTTTAGCTATTTCTTATACCACATCCCAGACCTTGTGTTGATGGGCATGGAACAAACGACCACTGACCTCCATGCTGCAGATAATGCAAAATATCTTCCTCTTTCAGCTACGTTACTGTTAGGGTTTAAGGTGCAAGCCAGTGATAGCAAATCTAATTAAACACCATGATCTGCATCTGATGCACTGTGTCACACAGACAATGAATTTGCAGATCTCATTTAGAGGAGCAGCATTACTGACTCCAACACAGGTGTGATGAGGGGAGGCTGACTTAGACTGCGCTTGAACTCTAATGTCAGACATATATTGGCATCTCTACCATAAGTACAAATGCCCGTACAAAAATTGGCCCTGCCAGAGCAAGTAGAGAAGCCAACTGTAAAATGACAAGCTTGAAAGGAATGTTCCACTTAACTCCACCAGCAGGACTGTTTGTGTGAAAAATCTGGGAAATGCCTGTATTATTTCAATGAATGTTACATTCATTTCTGTTGATTTGATGGTTACGAAGCAATCTACCACACAGTGACAAGCTGGTTAACACCCGCAGGACTTTTTTTCCAGTCTTTATTCTTCTATGGAAGAGTCAAGAATGCTTCTAGTGGCTGATCACCTGCCAGGAGTTACTGGACAATATTGGCAATTTTCACAGTATGCTTCTAGTCTCTGTTACTTGCTGGGAGGTTTGTGCTTTATCTAAGGGAAGGGCTAAAAATTATGTCATGTCTACTTCACAATTTATACTAACATTATCTGGTTTTAGTCTCCCTAACTTTTACTATGTATTTTAAACAATCTACCCCATTGTTATAATACCTCTAGTGCATTCGATTAAGAATATAAGGGCACATGCACAACTTGAGACTGCAGAACACTGATGAAGACTTTAGGTATATATGTACTACATGCACGTGGAAGCCTTTTTTTCCTGTGGGGAAGTGTGCAATTGGTATGGCGATGGCATGCACCACTCCTGCCACAATTTTCCTCAGACAGCTTTATGCATGAGTAGCCACCTTTACTTTAATTTGGTTACTCATGTCTCTAAGATTACTCATGTAATAATAATATATAATTTATTATTTACACTACAGTAGCACTTAGAGGCTTATGGTAGGTTTAAGAAATTACTATGCAGGAACTTTAAAATATATGATAAGAGAAAACCGCTGACCTTCAAATCACAGTGTAAAAAGACAAGACAAAGGGGGAAAAGACAAAGCAGAAGCAACTTGCTTATTTCTCTTTTTCCTAAGCTCTATCTTAACTGTATTCCAGAAATGCAATTACTG